TTCCCAGTTTATCCTTCCCATTCCCCATCCCTCTAGGTCAACCTACAAGTCTGTATTCTATGTCTGCGAGTCTGTTTCTGTTTTATATATAAGTTCATTTGTCTTTTTTTTTTAGATTCCACATGTGAGTGATATCACATGGTATTTTTCTTTCTCTTTCTGGCTTATTTCACTTAGAATGACATTCTCCAGGGCTATCCATGTTGCTGCAAATGACATTATTTTATCATTTTTAATGGCTGAATAGTATTCCATGGTATAAATATACCACAACTTCTTTATCCAGTCATCTGTCTATGGACGTTTAGGTTGTTTCCATGTCTTGGCTATTGTAAATAGTGTTGCCATGAACACTGGGGTGCAGGTGTCTTTTGAATTAGGGTTCCCTCTGGATATACGCCCAGGAGTGGGATTGCTGGGTCATAAATATGTTTATTTTTAATTTATGTTATTTGTAGTTCTAAAAAGCATTTGACATCACTTATAATAAAAATACATGGCCAGGTTAATTTAAAGAAAAATAAAAATAGAAGTCAAAAATCTTTCAGAATTGGAGTAAGATAGTTACTGTCACAGAGCATAAAATCTGGCTTGAAGTTTCCTGGCATGCAAGGAAAAAGAAAACCAGAAAGTGATGCAAAGCTCTCATCATGTTATCAAATAAGGTGCATGGGTTCTTCCTTCAATAAACAAATCCATTTAATTTGCAGAGGACTCACAATGCCTCAGATGCCAAGATTGCTATGTGGATATACAGACAGATGATATTAAAATGACCTGAAGAGTCCAGCATCCAGTGGGGTTGACAGACATAATGATGACAATGGAATGAATTAAATTTAGCAATTTAAATATGTACAGGATGTTACAGGAGCACTTACTGGACTCAGGAGTGTTCCCTCTCCTGAAGGAGAAGCAAGTGACTGCCTAGGACTGAATTCACAGACAAGGGTTTCCATGTACTAGATGCCCACGCTAGAGGACAGCACACACACAAAGAATATTTGGCATTTCAGGTGAGAAAGCCAGTGTAGTTTGTTTGAAGTAAACACCATCAATTTGTGTAAAATTTTGTTTCCTCTTTGGGGAGTGATATTGTATTTGTGGTGTCTCAAGTTCAAAATCCATTAAATTAAAAATGGCTGGATATGACCTAGAAAAATAAAAACATATTCTGGGCTACATAAAATATAATGTCCATTGACAGATGACTGGATAAAGAAGATGTGATATGTGCATGTATGTGTGTACACACACACACACACACACACACACACACACACACAATGGAATAGTACTCAGCCATTAAAAAGAATGAAATAATGCCACTTACAGCAACATGGATTATAATATTAAATGAAGTAAGTCAGAATAAGACAAATGCCATATAATATCACTTATATGTGGAATCTTAAAGAATGATACAAACGAACTTCTTTACAAATTAGGAATAGACTCACAGACATTAAAAAACAAGTTATGGTTATCAAAGGGGAAAGAGGTGGAGGAGAAGGATAAATTAGGAGTTTGGGATTAATATATACACACTACTACATATGAAATAGATAAACAACAAGGACCTACTGTATAGCACAGAGAGCTATATTTAATATCTTGTAATAACCTATAATGGAAAAGAATCTGAACCAGAATATATATGTATATGTTTAAGTGAATCACTTTGCTGTACAACTGAAATTAATACAACATAGTAAATCAACTATACTACAATTAAAATAAAATAAAATATAAAACATGAGCCATGCAGTTCTATTCAAAAACAGTTCACACAACCTGCAGTTTTAAGGCTGTGCATCACTAATTGACATTTGGATCAATTTGACCAAGAGGGAATTTGATCAGTAAGAACTCAGCCATGCCCAGTAGGGGCCCTTCATGATGGACGGTGACAAGTCCATGCACGCACAGCCTCTCCCTCAGCGTGACGGTTAATTTCAGTGATCATGCGTGCCCAGATTAAGCATTATTTCTAGGTGTGTCTGTGAAAGTGTTTCTGGATAAGATCAGCATTTGAATTGGTGGACTCAATAAAGCACACCGTCCTCCCCAATACGGGTGAGCATCATCCCATTCTTTGAAAGTCTGAAAAGAACAAAAGGTAGAAGAAGGAAGGAAGAATTTGCCCCTTTTTCCCCTGCCTCACTGCTTGAGCTGGGATGACTCATCTTATCTTCTCCAGCCCTTGGATTGGGATTTACATCATCAGCTCCCTGGTTCTTAGACCTTTGGACTTGGACTAAATTACACCACTGGCTTTCCTGGGTCTCCAGTTTGCAGACAACAGATCCTGGGACTTCTCAGTTTCCATAGTTGTGTGAACCAATTTCTCATCATATATATATAGATATAGTTAGATATAGATAGATAGATAGATAGACAGACAGACAGATAGATATCCTACTGATAATATCTATATCTATATCTATATAGTTATCCTACTGGTCTGTTTCTCTGGTGAACCCTGACTACTGCACTTGGGAAGGGTGAATGTGAACACACTAGAGGAAGCAGCAGTGGGGAGCAGCACTGCTCGACTCTGAAGGGAAGACAAGATGATCAGGTTCGTCAAGCTGTTGTTGCATCACAGATTACTATGGGTAGTAGGACTGCTGGGAGTTCCTGAACAACACTGAGCAGTGTTCTCACTGAGAGAGGACTGCTGAACATCTCAGCCATGGATGTACTGGGGGCTGGAGGGAGCCCCCCACCCCAGTTTGCCAGGTTTACTATTAACCTTTGTGGTAAGCTGAATAATGGTCCTGCAAATATGTCCATATGCTAATTCCCAGACCCTATGAATATGTTACCTTACATGGCAAAAGGGACTTTACAGATATAATTAAATTAAGGATCTTGAAATAAGGAGATGATTCTGGATTATCCAGATTGACCCAATATAATCACCGTGGTACTTACAAGAGGGAGGCAGGAGGAGTCAGAGTCAGAGAGAAGGCAATGTGATATCAGAAACAGGAACTAGAGTGATGAACTTTAAAGATGAAGAAGAAGCCACAAGCCAAGAAAGCCAAGCAAGGTAACCAGCCGTAGAAGCTGCAAGAAGCAAGGAAATGGACTCTCCCTGCAGAACTGCCAGAGGAACCAGCCCTGCTGACACCTGACTTTAGCCCAGTGAAACTGATGTGGCACTTCTGACCTCCAGGACTGTACAGGATAAACTTCTGTTGTTTTAAGGCACTCAGTTGAAGGTAATTCGTTACAACAGCAATAGGAAACTAGTACAAACATTTTTGTCCCCACTCCCCTTTAACACTGCAGGCCACCTTATGCCTTAGGCTCATTTAGGAACAGACAAGGCAGTGTGATGCAAGTTTCTGCATGAGCACACATGAGGAAGAGCAAGACATCCACTCAGCACCTGAGATAAGAGCTGAAGTGGGAAGACAGAAAATTGAAACTCATTGGTCACCTGAGTGGAGTGAGTGCTGAGAGCAGAAAGGCTAGTTTTAAACGGCTGATTCACGAGCAGGGGTTGAGGAACTCAAGACAGCCAGTGAGTATGGACCATGGGGTCACACTGCCTGTCGTCAAGGGAAACCAATTTGTCTGTCCATAAATTCTGGAAAGAACAAAGCACTGGATTCTTATATAAAGGGGAATTCATAATAAAACAGATAATGTCTTCAAGCAGCAAAGAAGACAAATAGAGTCAGAATATATTACTTATGGTAATTAAATAAATTTTTTTAAAAAAAGAAAGAGTTTAGACCACCTGAATAAATTACTTGGGTTATTCAAGTTA